TTTATTTTTTTTTTTTTTTTTATTGATTACCAGCATTCTGCTGTTTGAGAATGATATCATGAATATGGGAAAAAATTTGCATAAAGCATAAGAAGGATATAAAAGGAGTGAGAAGGAAGTAACAAATGATTTTTATGTGACGGAAACGATTAGACGAGTAATTTTTGTTTGTTATTGTTACTTCTTGTATTCATATAATCTTATCATCGATTGTTTCTCCTATGATAAGTGATATCTTTGGTCATGAATATGTCCTCTTCCCTTTTCATCTATCTCTCTATATATGTGTCCTGATTGATCCCTTCTGATCCCTTCTGATCTTTATTTCTTTCATTAATGATATAATTGCTTAATTATGGTTGCATAAGATGTTTGTTTTTTTTTTTCTTCAATCTCTTTAATTGATAACTACTATCAGTACTTTATCAGTTCAATAATCTTTAATACTTATCATTGATAATTTCATTGGGGATTTATTTGTAATAAACGAATTTTTTAATCTAGAATGTATATATATATTTTTTCTTCATCTACTTTTAAAACCTTTAATATTACGATTAGTCATTATCGATTATTTGTCATTTGCATGGTGACAATCATAATTAATTAAAGGTTACTTAAGCTACTGTAACTTGAGGTTCTATTACTTTTACAATTATTTTGATACTGATTCATACAATTAAATTTTATTTTTTTTTTTTGTCAGAATGTTGAATTGTCCGATTTGTTTGGAAGCTGATGATGGAATAGTTGCATTTGCAGCATTGAAATGTGGTCATGTATTCCATCGAGATTGTATCTCTTCATGGTTAACGGTTTGTAAATTATTCCTGAAATTCTAAACCGGATAATTACTTAATTTGGTATACCATATATTAGCACATATTTTTGCAAGAATGTATGCAACTTTATGATAATTTATGTATTTTGGTAATATTCTAGACCGGATAATTGATAATTCAGTCATTTATAGGATAAAATTAGTGCTAAATTGTCTGTAAAATTCTGCTAAATAAATCAGATATTACCTTAGTTAGCTCAAATCTGTGATTGAAATTTTCAAAATTGAGGAAAAAAAAAACGTGGATTCAGATCAATAGATGCCTAGTAGGAAATCATATCTCAAAGGTCAAAGAGCAAACTTTGCTAAATAAATTAGTTTGTAATAAATTAACTTTTATTCCATTATAGCTTTATTAATTCATTTCAGATTGGTAAAGATACTAAGATCTGTCCGGTGTGCAGAAAATCTGCTGATAACTTCCTAAATTTGTATTTCTTTAGCATTCCCACAGTTAGTTAGTCATTAATTCATGCTAATTTTACTTCGAAATTAACTTTTACAAATTTAGAGTACGTTGATTTAGTATCTGTCAGTAAAGAAGGTTAATGAATAGAGCTAGGATGACACCGAAAAAATTGACGAATTTCTAATGTCAACGAAATTCAACAACTGAAAATTTGAGGTACAGGAAGAAACAAGAAATGAATCTCATAAATGAAATTTTAGAATTTTAATAGATCGCTATCAAAGTTGCACTTTGTAATTAACTAATTTTGCTTTAAATAAGTAACATATAGTACATATAGTGCTGTAAATAAGTAATAACACATAAATGCCACTAATAAACTTAAATATTTACAGAAAACTACCGAACATTCTGTAAGAAAAAACGAACTCAAAAAAAGCGCCACCAAAACGGTATGAATATTTTGGAATCAAAAAAAAATAAAAATCAGAAATGAATTTGAAAACTTTAACTTAAAATTGATCAAATTAATTGATATGTTTATTTCACTTTCATAATCAAAATATATGCTAATTTTTGTTTGTACTTAAATTAATCATTATTTAGATTTTATTTTATCATTTTAAGATTTGTTTTTCTAGAAATAAGAAGAAATTTCCGACTCGCCAACAATCTACACGCCAATACGAACTTCGATCTGGCTCTCGATCTCATATTTCATCTCGATCTCAAATTTCAAATACAAACAGTCCTTATTGGTTACGAACTGAACGATCATGAAATTTTATTCCACTTGTTTTGAATCTTTTACTCTAATCTATTATGGTAATTAGTGTTTAGCACCTTTTAATGGCACTTAATGTTCAGGAATTTTTAATGGTACTTAGTGTCTAACATTGTTAGCTTTTTCCTATATTATTTATTAAGTAATTTTATAGTAAAATTTAATAATTTTCAAATTAATTTCAATTTCAATAAATTTTTGGATAATTTCATTGCAATTCCATTCATTGTTGCACGAATGATCAATGAGTTATCGTAGCATAAAACGAAAATTATGCTCAATTAGCCAGCTCATTTTCGTGATCTCAAAAATATTTTGATAGAGAATGTACTTATTATCTCTTTTTAAATTTGCTTTTCCAATTCGTATGTGTATGTAATTAATTAATTAGCCAATTAATTACATTGATACTACTACAAGTAAGCTATTGTCGAAAAATAGTGAAAATTTCATGTTGTTTTATCAATTTTAGTACAATACGATGCATTATATTATAATTAGCTTTTTCAACATTATACTTAAAATCTGGAAAATTTGCGCGATCCTCTAGTGAACCCCCGAGATTTCCTGTACTATCATTGTTATCATCCCTATATTCCACTACTTAAATCACCATATCATCATAATGATATGATAACTTTGCCACTTCTTTAATGTTATTTCATTCAATCTATTGCTTTTATTAAATTATAAAAAATGTGTGTATAAATTCATATTTCCTTTGAAAATCGCATAGCTATTTATCAGTATGATTATAACAATTGTAATCACTTAAAGTGTCGTCGTCATCGTCATCACGGCTAGGCTTCACCAATGAAGATATGTGAAAGGTTATACCCATGCTTGCTGCAAGCTCATTGATGGCTAAGAAAGGATAGACTAATCCGGATAAAAAGACATAGTGGGAGATCTGCTTAGACGGTATTGATAAGGTACGGTTTTTTCTTTTTTTTCTAGGCCACTTTTTCTAGGTTCCTCTTAGTATGGAGAAAGCAGTGCTCTTTTTTTTTTCTTTGTTCGACCGCGTCAAAAGATCCCCATGGCCACAGCTAACCAACCGGATGGAGATGAAGATAAGCTTTGGTTAGGCTAATTTTTCTAGGCCCTGTCCGTATGAAGCAAGCAGCGCTTTCCTTGAAAAAGACTACTTCTCGTTCAGGATGTTACCAAACAAGATTGTCATCTTCAGGGTCAATCTCGAACAATCAGTGTCCTGAACCTCCTGCATGCAAGCTTGAGTCTGCGGCTTTTAGTGCATCCTATCATCTGCCTTTTGTCCCTTGCCTGCCGCTACAGGATTTTAAAAAATCTCTCAAGGGTGTATCTCTCAAGCCTGTGCGATGGATTTTTAGGTAAAGTACAGCGTGCGAAAATCCAGAACTGGTCCTCCTTCTAAGATTCATTTGCCGGGGCCTAACAAGCTTGGACGATGGCAGCGAAGTCCTTACAACATAGGTTTAGTTAGAGTTCCTCTTCTGAGATTGATGGCTTTACAGGACTAAACAAGCTTCATTTGTCCGGGGTGGGATCAGAATGGTCCTTCTCCTAGAATGGTTGTCCGAAGACTAACAAGCCTATTTTACTCCTGAACACATTTCGTCTGACCCTTTAGTCGAGAATTGTCTAGCATGGAAGGCCTGATCAGTACCAATTACTATCGCAGCATAGTTCATACCTCATAATGGCACGCAAACTTCTCCACAACAAAGGAGATGTCCGTGGAGGAGATTTAAAGTGTAATCAACTGTAATCATCCTTAAAGTAATTAGAGATCAGTGGGTCAAAGGGCAAAAAAAGTTTGCCGAGAGAGAGAGAGAGAAAGAGATTTGAAAGGAAGTGTTGCGTGCGTAATTTTGCATGTAACATGTCAACTTGTTTGAAGAAGCCGCTCAAAACCTTTTCGGGTTTTATCGAGGGGAGGAGATTTCGTTGCTTTCGTTCGCTTACTTTGACGAAATGTTGTAGTCATTCCAAATCAATATTTAAAATATATGCGACAATGATGATGATGATGATGATAATGATAATGATGATGATGATGATGATGATGATGATGATTGAGGAAGAGAAAATACTATTTCTCGACCTTAACTTCGTTTTACTCATCTTTTTCTCAGGTATCTATCTTTATGGACGAAAAAAAGTATCGAATTGTAAATATTAACAGATGAAACAGCACTAAGTGTAAAAAAACACACACACACACAGCCTAAGCTAAGTGTAATTCAACTTTTGATAAATTAAAGTTTAGAAAATGTGAATTTGTCAATGCTATCAAATTCTAGTAATCATTTAAAAAATTTGAAAAGAAGAAATTAAATTTTTATGTGAACAAGAATTTAAATATCCTGAAAAGTCTAATATGCCAATTTAAGCTAGTAATGCTTGAATGGTAAATTAGAACTTTCAAATTTAATTAACATAATCATCATTTATGTTTAAATTTAAATATAATTTTCAAATACATAATGTTTTAGAAGCATTTAGTTCCAATAAGCTAGAATCAAATAGCTTAAAATGGATATTGTCAACAATTTACAGAAATTAGATATCATTTTCAAATCTATATTTAGGATATTTAAAATTTTATATTTAGGAAATTTATATCGATTCAAATTTAAACTAAATTAGATTTTTAAAAATCTGCGAAATCTTAAATTTAGAATTTTATAACAAATAAAAATTTCAAATTTCATATTAATTTTCCATACTATAATACTTTTTTCCTTTTTACCTGATACCATTTTTATGAGGAATTTTCACTTTTGTAGAAAAAAAAAAGTGCTAAAGTTCCCTGTAGCCATAAAATGTTATAATAATTTAGCAAGATCTTTCGGCATGATGTATATCTTTATCGTAACTTACTAGGATTACACTATTTTTTGCATTACCATTTATCTCGTCATCAAACATTCAACAATCGATTCCGATCTTCTTTTTTTTTCCCCCCCTCTTTCTCTCTCCCTCATAATCCTTAATTTCACCTAAAATTTAAAATGATAATATAAACATTTACCTTTATATTAAAATAAAATAATATGTGATTATTGGTAATTATAGGGATAACAGAACAATTATTATCACTTCCATTTTATAATCATTCATTATCATTCTCTTTCTCAATTTTGTACCTTTGACCTTTTATAAAAACACAAATATTATTTCTCTTCAATTTTTAAAGATATTTCTTTTACAAAATTTTAATAAATGATTAAAATACCTTATTTCTTCAGTTAATTAGTTTGCATTCGTCCCTCATTCTATTTTGCAGTATGCATGTTTGATGTTATTTTAAAGGAATGAAAAAATGTTTCGGTGAAATTTTGATGAGAACAATTTTGCACTCAAACAAACATGTTGCACTTCAACAATTCAACTCTATTCATGCTACTCTTTCTTTTTTCTTTTTTAACTTTAAGTTTACAGGAAAAAAAAAGGAGAAAGAGTGTAACTTTAGTTGAGAGATAAGAAAATGAAATGAGAAAAGATAGGAATGTTACTAAATGAAATGCTTGAAACATTGCAATTTTGAATTTATCGTCTAGGCTATGGCGGTTTGATCTTTTTCAGCAAATTAATTTAAAAAAAAAAACTAAAATGATATGTAACGAATCAGCAACATTACCAATTCTTTTCGTCTCACTATATCGTACAAATTTTTTTTCTTGGTAAAAGATTCCTATCATCATCATCATAAATATCATCATCATCATCATCATCATCATCATCATTATCATTATCACTATCATCATGTTTTTCCCTTTACCGTTTTCACCAATCAACTAATCAGTTTCGTTTTTTTTTTCTTTTGGGAACCGGTTTTCAAGGTTTATCTCTACCGGTATATCTAACAATTAAAAAAAAAGCAATGCGTTTTTTTTTTCTTTTTTCTTAAATGACAAATAAAAAAAAAATATGAGAAATATTTGTGGCAGTAATTCTTCCTTTTATATTTCTTTTAGTTTCAATTTTCTCCTCTCATCGTTTCATCTGAATGTCACATTATCCGGAATGAATGCCTTACCTGATTTATATGCTCTCTTTCTCTTTCTCTCTCTCTCTCTCCCTCTCTCTCTCTTCTACCTTTCAAATATTTCATGTTAACATATAGGTGGAACAGTTACAACTACCTGTTCAAATGTCTTTTTCGCATATAATCGGTTTTTCACAGATGCCGCCTTTATAAAGATGCTGTAAATACTTCATGTGCAACTATTTTCTAAATATCATTTCGTTACCATCTTTCTTGTATCATATCGGTAGGTTGACATAAGATGAAGAGTGTAAATGTGACAACAAGGTAATTCTGCTATCTTATGAAGTTAGTCATTTTGATCCTAATATTAGTTTAGGTTTAACTTGTAATGTAACAAATTGATATGATGAGCAATTTTCGAAATTATAATTAAATTTAGAGCGAAAAAATATACATGATATATATGGGAAAATACATATGACATAATTTATTTGATATTTTTAGAATGAAACACTAAAAATATTCCTAATTTATAGTTTTTTTTTTAAAAACTTTTAAAATAATTTTTTACTCTTTTCAAAAGAAAAAAAAAAACTCTACAACTAGACAATTGTTAGATTTTAATTGAGAAAAATTTCTCATTTTTGCTCCTGGATTTATCAACAGATCTATTTTATTTAACCGATTCGAATATTTGATGAAATATCTATACTCTCCTAATAATTAGTAGCGAACTATCATTTCTTTTCGGTACAGTAACTTTCTCTCTTCCTTCTTTTTTTTTTGTAACTAAGAATTTTGGTACCATAGATAGATTGAATGTTGTTGGAATTGATTGGGATATATGATGAGATCAAACATCTATGTCAAACAAAGGTAATGAAATTATAGGGAAAGAATGAGCACAAAAACAATGATTGGTATAGCAACGGCAAGTTGTGCTTGCATCATTGTCACATCTTTAATCGCCGTTTGTGTAATATTCAATGAAATAAATAACTTACACGACGATGTTATGGATGAGATGGGCGTCTTCCGAGTTAGTCTTTTTATAATTTACTGAAATTTTTAAGCCATGAATATGATGAATAGCTAAATTGTTAATATATGCGCAAAAGATGCTATTATGTTGTGTAAAAATTGCGCAAAAATGATTATATTTACAGGTAATTTATTTGGTTATTTTATTAAAATTTCGAAGTAAATGTAATATAATAGTAGAAGAGTTTATATGAAAATGAATGTAGAAAGGACATTAATGTCCGTAATTTTGTGACAATTTATGAACATGAATTAATTAAGAAGTAAAATTCATTCATATGCAATATTCTTTCAGACTGTTGCAGACGATACTTGGGAAAGAATAGTAATGCTACATTTTGGCACAGGTGGTGGTCGGCAAGAGACGTTCACCTCCTTGATCAACCGATACAAACGACAGTTCATCCCACCACCACATTGTCGTTAGTTTTCAACTTTTAATTTAAAAAAAAAAAAGGAAAAACAACTGGGGCAACCAAAAGACTTTTATTACTTGAAATTTTAGGAATTATTTAGCTTCATTCGACAATATATAGTTAGATAAAATGCCAAAATTTGTTACAGAATGTCAGGCACCAGAATTGTGCCCACCAGGTCCACCAGGACCACCAGGTGATAAAGGTCTGCCAGGTCTTGATGGACCGGTCGGCCAAGATGGCAGAGATGGTGCTAGTGGTGTGTCACTACTAGCGACATATCATTTTCCTGGTGGCTGCATAGAATGTCCTCCGGGACAACCGGGGCCACCTGGACCTGATGGTCTAGAAGGAGATTATGGAGAGACAGGACGTCGTGGATCACTTGGAACACCGGGCAAGAGTGGGCAACGTGGACCACCTGGACCACCTGGGGAAATGGGGGAAGCAGGACCAGATGGAACACCTGGAATGCCAGGAGCACCAGGTAAAGATGGAAAACGAGGCATTGGACCACAAGGACCGAAAGGACCAACTGGACCAAGTGGACCACCAGGTCCACCAGGACTCGATGGAGAAAGGGGTGCTGATGGTGAACCAGGAGAACAGGGTGAGGAAGGACGACCAGGAAATGACGGTAGGAAAGGAAATGATGGACGTCCTGGAGAGGTATATTTGCATTCTATTTCAAAAATTTTAAAATTAACTTGAATTGCTATCATCCGAAATTTTTGGTATAAGCGGAAAATCTAAGCTGAATGAGTCACCACACTGGATCTTCTACCTATCCGCACTAAATACGAATATCAAATAAGTTATTACTTTGTTTTTGTATTTGACAAGTTAATAATTGATGTGCAATATTTTAGCGTGGTAGCCCAGGATTACCAGGACCAGATGCTCATTATTGCCCATGTCCACCACGAAGTTCAGGATATCTGATGAAGATATACTGAAGAAAATCAACTCTATAATATTTCTATCTATCTATATATATATATATATGCTCATTCAAACGGTGACATTAAAATATTAAATTTTTAAACAAATATTTGTCATTTTGATTGAGGTGAAGTGGAATTTAATGGAAATAATCGATATGATGAAGCTCAAAAAAATATGGTGCAAAATAAAAACTTCATTCCGCGCAAATCTGTTCACAATGTACATCTCTAATG